ATAGAAGAAATATGTGTAATTATGATTTCCACAGTTCAGCAGAACTTGTTTCATAAACACAGCAATTGGTAGGCCAAAGAGAAAGAATGTATTTATTATTTCATACATTTGTGAGATAAATTCAGATCAAATTTGAAATAAAAATCATGTTACTAGTTTTCGCCTATCTTTATGGACTCAAATGTGCAAAGGCCTTCAATAAATCTATGATCAATGAATATCCTAGGAAAATTACAGCAGGTGTTCTATCATCTTTTACTTATATCACATGGAAATCACACTAAATTATAATTTCCTGTGGTTTTAACTGGCCTTGACAATAAGACTATTTTGAATTTAAGAAGCAAAACTGACTGCTGTAGAACAGTAAGCCAGCCACTGCAAAAATGGAAGAAAATGTCAGCATAAGTTCCTGGAAAGCCAAACGGCCAAATTTGTCATACCTCTGTGATTTCAGAAACCAAGAATATAATGAAATTACTTAGCATTCAGCACAAGCACAGAAGGAACCCCTTAGCCTGAGATATATTTAGGGATTGCTCAGCACCAGGCGATACATACAGAGAATCCAGAATGGATTGTTGTGTGACTAGCTGTATTTTTTCTGAATTAGTCAGCACAAAACCAAGACCCTGCTTGGGACACTAGTTTTCCCTTGTGATTACTGACTTAGTAATTAAAGGAAACACAAAGATACCCTCATTAAACTTATGAGATGAATAAAATACTAAAGTAGTGCTGTAGAATTCACAAATTCACTCTGTAGGATTAGACTATTCGTCGTAAGCAAAAGATTAAGTATTTAGTTTCATAGTTTAATAGCTCTGTCTGATAGGCATTGAGAATCAAAGTGCAGTAGCTATTATCTATCAGCATCTTTCCAAATCTTAGCAAGCCCTAAGTAGGTCAAACTGTTAGACCCTTACAGATGCAAATTGCTTGCCAACTTGCATAAGGAAACATGCAAGGTACTCTCACAAATATCACATGCTAATACTATGCCCTCTAAAGCAGCTGTTGGTGTTTTTTTTTCTGTTTGTGAAAAATAAATGGGCAAAGTTACAGAACCAGCACTAACTTATCTTGGCTTGCCACCCCAAGACCCACATATTTTTATACAAATTTTGTCTGATTAGTAAGATAGTGGAAGCTAGGAATTATGATCATGCAGGCATCCTAACTAGACTTTTGATCACCTCCATTATATGTTCACTTAAAATTTACAGCTTCTGCTGATAAGCAGTATTTTATACTGAGAAAAAAAATAATCTCATTAATTAATCTCATTAATAGAATAAAATTTATGCTTAGCCATTCAGTACATACAGTAATCTGGCTCAGCATTTATGACATAGATTATTTATTATTTCAAACAATAAGGCCATAATTAATTATTGCTATTGTTTTCTTTTCTTAGTTCTCCTAGCATTTAAGTAAACCCCAATTTGAGTAAACCATCATTTCAAAGGGAATTTAACAGCATGATCTACTCTTTCACACAGAAACTTTTCTCACGATCACGTGCCTTTGACAAAACAGCCTATTTTTTAGTAGGAAAAAGGGCTAACCTTTCACCAACATTTGCCCTTTTTAATGGATGTCAGTGGCAGGAAAAAGAAAAAAAACACATGGATGTTCACCTTTTCTCTTTTCACATCAGGAATTTATCTGGATCCCCATGGCTGATGGGCCACAGTGTGGATCCGTGGCCCACACAAGAAGCAAGGTTTGACTAATAATGTTAAAATTGTATATACGTACACAATACCATTCTTCTAAGTGACTATCTTCGAGGGTAATACAATAATACAATTGACCTGCAACAAAATCTCTTCAGCTCTCACTATGTTATCTAAGAAATAATGTTAGAAATGAAAGGAAAATGAGTAATTGGTTTAGCAAATCCACGATCACACTGATAGTTTTGTACTTACGTTACTGTGCTCACAGTCCCAGTGGTACTTTCCAAGATCCCAAGGTACTTTCCAAGTTCCACTCCCTAGAGCACGTGGCACAGAACTGCATCCAAGCAGGTTTTGAAGATCTCCAGAGAAGGAGACTCCACAACCTCTCTGGGCAGCCTGTTCCAGTGCTCTGTCACCCTCACTCTTAAGAAATTTTTCTTTAAGTTCCTGTGGAAATTTTGATGCTTCAGTTTCCAGCTGTTTCCTCTAGTAAGCTTTCCTCTAGCTAGCTTGGTAACAGAGTGTTTACTATGTTATTATTCTGTATTTGCAGCTTTCACCCTTCCAAAAACTACAGAGATATCTAGGTTCATGAGCATACAAAGAAAAATCTGGAAAAAAGGCAAACCAGAACATATCTAAACCCTTATTGTATTTCATAAGGCACCACCGAAAAGAGTACACCTAATTGTCATACTTGCTGCATATTCATTTTATTGAGAAAAAGGTATTGCTGAAAATGCATCAATTTGGGTTCAACAGTATTTTGCAAACTAAACTATTTAAAAGAAGTAAATAAGGCCATGACATGGCATTAGGATATACTAAACAGTTCCTGAAACCATGCAAAGCACAATGCTCCCTGTAATATCTAAAGTGATTTCCAGCAATCCTAACAGCCTCTTTCTTCACTTGGAGGCTAAAATTGTTTCAGCAGTAATTTCTCTAACTTTTCTTATGTGTTTTCTATTGCTTCAACTTGCACTTACTGTATATAGGCAGACCTAAATTCCTCTCAAGACAAACAAAAAAAATGCATGTACAACATGTGACAATACTGTAAGGAGATGGGAATTTATACAATGATTCAATGATATATATATATATATAAATCATGTGTATGTGACATGTGACCCCCAATTTGGGATGTACAGACTATTGAAGAAAGCCTAAAAAAATCCCAAAACAAACAAAAGAACAATTTGCCAGCGAATATTAAAATATTATGGTTCTGTTTTTTTCCATCATGAAACAGTTTATGTCGAATTTATTTTGTAGCACTGTTTCTTTTCTACACATTATAGCTTTCAAATTCTCAAATTGTAATGTCATTTTTTTAAAAAAATGCTATCTTAACAAATATCCATGAGACTCTTTGTGTTCTGTATATTTCACATAGAAGAATCTAAAGACCTCTTAAGCTAAAGACTATTTTATTTGATTGAAAAGATATTTAAAAACAAGAAGAATGAAAGTAATTCAATATAACATTAAGTAAACTAACAATACAAAAAGGTCCTAAGTTCTGCCAGGGAAAGAAAAAACATTTATAAAGATCTGTCAAATGACAGATTTTATGTCTTATATAAAACGGAGAATAAAGCCTTGCTATGATAATATTGAAAACAGAAAATTAAATTTGACCTGTGGGCTCAAGCACAGAAATACTACCCACGTGAGAGCAATCCACAGGAAGAAGTTGCAGCAAATTTGCATGAGTATGTTTTTGAAGGCTCAGTTTCCCAGTACAGAGCATGTGCTTTGTGAAGCATGGAAAATTACTGCAGTGTAGTACAGGTAGGCTAGCACTATCAGATGGGTGCATGAAAACTGGGTTTGTTTCTCCCATCTACTTTCACCAGCAACTGAGCATACAACTCCCTCAGACTCCTTTGAAAAGCTTGGTTGTGTTTCTAAGACTTGGCTGTATTCGGAAGTTTATATTCACTCACAAATTCAGTTCACACATGGATAACTGAGATGATAGATATAACAGCTGCCTCTGAAGCTCTTGTGTATATTACAGAGAACTAAAAGTCTTTTATAGCAACTACTATATATGTATAATATCTCACATCGTGTATTTACAAAAGGAAGTAGTATTTAGAGATCTAGGATTTAGTTTAATGCCCTTTCTGAAGGGGAAAATTTACGAAAGACAGTAATTGAAATACTTCTGAACAGCAGCAATATAGGCAGATCCAGCAAAAGCTATATAACTTATAGCAGTTATGGAAGAATGCTTTACTAATACATGTTTGAAAACTGAAAACAAATGAGAGTTTGCCTTGAGCTCTTTTTGCTTTCACTACGATGAGAAGATACACAAGCTTTTGAGGGCTGCAATAGAACACAGTATTCAATTTAATATTGAGTTATTTATAAAAGTAACTTAAATGCGATTAATAGATTTTAAAAAAATAAGTTATTAAAAGTCTGGCACTATTACTGACAGCATATAACAACATTGTTCTATTACAGATTTGAAGTCGATAGCCACCAGTAAAACTCAATTCCACTCAAATATAGCACACAGGCATAAAATCTATTAATCATGCTTTAACCTGTTATAATTAGAGGTTTTAATATGGCCTAACGAAATCCAGTTCATGGTTTTCACCTCAAATAATATGTTTCAAGTTCTGAATGTAATTATTTATGCTATAGGAAGTTATCAAGTACTAAGACTTGTTGTCTAAGATCTCTAAATCCTCATGTCTTTGGTGTGTCAATATTTCAAATTCATTTCTGCATGTTTTTATCCTGATAACTTGGAATACAAAGTATGTTTTGAGGAATAATGATATATATCATTGCTTTCATGGTTGCTAGAGAGACAAAAAATATCTGGGAAAATACCATTTCTCAAAAATAAACACCACTCCAACCTTTTGGCATTCTGTTTCCCCTTGTAACTAGCAGAGCTGCCTTCCAGCATCTCTTCTAGTTTTCACAGCAATACTAGGTAGCCACGGGATGGCCTGTTTGGTAGCAGTCCTCGCTGTCCCTGCCCACATCTAGCAATGCTTGTGCAAAGAATGCCCTGAGGGGGAAGATGTGTTTGTTCCTCTCAATATATGGTTACTGGGTTACATTGTTCAAAACAGACAAGAAACAAAAGCAAAGCAATACAATCAAGCCTCCCTGGGACTGAAATATTTTGTGTTGTCATTTTCAGTGCATGCCAAGACATTCATGAGCACCAGAGCCAACCTGGCGAGCTAATTAATATATAAATGTATGTGTTTAAAACAGCCTTATAAGGAGCATTGGAAATCTGCAAGATGAGCGAATATCTTATAACTTCTTCCGCAGGTGCGAGGATAGCTACAAGCCATGGACTTTCTGTCCTGCTTCTTGTTTGTGGCTTTGTGAAGGGTGCTTTGCTTTAATCTAAAAGTGCTGACTTTTTCCAATATCACTTTCTCTTCTTAAAGCAAAGAGCAAATCGCCTGTAAAATCCACGGAGCGGACAGCAAAGTTGACCCTAACCTCCAACCATCACTCTGCACCCAATGTACTCTAAATCTCTACACAAGGAGCACCTTCTTCAGGAAGTACAAAAAAATACTAAATAAATAAATATTATAAAATGAAGAGGATACCACATGTTTTCTTGATAGATCTTATTTTCTTTGGCCTATCATTAATCTTTCATTTGAAGAGAACTGGTGTGATGTAATAGAATGTTTTGTAAGAGCAAGACCTAGTTTCCTTTTCTCTTGGCAAGTAGAAGCCTCATATCCTTGACTTCTCAGGGGTTGACCTGCGAGTCATCGGTATTATAAAATTAACCATGGATGACATTTAGTTTCCTACGCTGAAAGAATCGTTCCAGCTGTGAAGCAAACAGAGGCCAAATAATGAAACAAAACAGATTGAATCAATGTCCACCCTGATAAAGCACCTCACAAACTTTGTTGAAAAGTCTTTTTTTCTTCTCTTTTTTTTTTTTTTTTTGCATGAGGAATACAGAGGAAAAAGAAACACTAGAAAGCAGCTAAACAGACTAAGGGCACAGTTTATGGCAAACAAATGAGAGTATTTTTCTTTTTTTTCTCTTCCCCATCTGTGGGGGAAGAGAAACCCCACTCCCTGTGGGTTTTTCTCCTCTTTTCCTTTGTTTCTTGTTCAACGGTGGCATTTGCTGACTTAGGCCAACTCCTGACAACAGCGTGGAGGTTGATATATATACATCCTTTCTTTGTGTGTCTGTGTTCTATATTTCAATGTGTTTTCTCTAATTTTGCAAATCCTGTATATGCAAAACTAACTTAAATTCTGTAAATTGCTTACAGTCTGTGTGATATAACTTCAGAGTAGACACACTTTGGTCCTCATGCAAGCCAGTTTTTAATCTTAACTGTACGTCGTGCCACCAATATACATCTTTACTTCCTTTCTTGACAAAACATCACTTTTTAGTTTGTAATCCAGTATTGTGTGGATTTTGTAATGCATACATGCAGTTCCACTGGTTTGAATCCTATGCTGGCCCTCTGTTTACTCTGTAAATGCACATTAAAATTTGTTACAGTCTCTAGACAATGAATTATTTTAGTTTTGTGTATGTTGTGTGGGAGTTCAGTAGCTGAAAGCTCTTTTAATTTGTTATGTTTATAGAGGATGAAGTGATTTGATCACTAGAGACTGTAAAATAAAGGTTTGCAGTCAAATACTGCATGCAAAGGAAGGCTAGAGGGAAAAACAGATAAACCAGTATGACTTAAAGGACATTCTTTTGGCAAAGAGTTTTAGGAAAGTGAGCTTATTATATTGATAAACTATATTCACTAAACTATATTGATAAACTATATTCATTAACTGACTCCTCCCATATGGGCCAAAATGCGCCCTTCTTTGCTTTTTCTGCAACTGGATTGTCATTGCTCATTCATATTCTTAATTAAAATACTTTGTCTGTGAACTGAACATGCAATTTTTGCTGTTGACTGAGATAATATGCATTACATGAATTACATTCATTAACGCAGGAAGGAAAAATTGCTAACATTTGCTGTTGCAATCAGGAAGTTTTTTTTCCCACTGGTCTTCCTGCTTCCTACGGTTTCTGAACAATCCAAACCCTTTCATTTGCACAGACAACTATGTGCTTATTGGGATCTATTTACAACAGCATTAAGCAGCTGCAGTGTGGTCAGCTGTGTAATTTTTCCTCATTCTAAAGATATATAGAAAGGGAGATAAAAGAGGGATGTCTAGTACCTCACCAGGCTGTGGCTTATAGGCATATAGTTTTATTTCAAAATGGCCATACAGGCTCATTCTGGAACATCCTGAAGTTTTCAAAGGGAAAAAAAGAACAAATGATATAGTACAGAAAGAAAGGGTAACACGCTAATGGTTTGGCAATACCATTGTGCATATATTATCTGTCCTATCCATGTATTCAGTACAACCACCTTAGGAATAATCAGTCTTTCTGCGGTCTTGAAAACTCTTATACTAATAAATACAGTGAAAGCATGACCTAACATGGACAATTCAGGAAACTTTCAGAAAAAAAAAGAGAAAAAAAATATTTTTTAATGAAAAATGGATGACTCAGTGGTACTACTGACTGCTTGAAAGGTTTTGCTTCATAGTAATAATAACTAATTGGCCTACTGGCAAACAGTCCTCCCATCCTGAAAGTATTTTGAATCAAAAGCAATAATTTGGAGTGAAAGGGAAGTATACCAGGAAAGAGAGTTTTGGAGTTTAATTTTCTGAATGCCCCTATGGAACTAAACTCCCAGAACTCTGAAGGAAAGATGACATTTTTCCCATGCTACAGTAATTTATGATTGGGTACTGTGAGAATTTCCCACATGGAGTTTGGAAATCTCACTTTCCATCAATCTCAATGGGAATCAAAGGCATTGATCCTCTAGATGATGCTTAAAATCACACATACTTCACTCAAATCTGTTTTAACTGTATACATCTGTACGAATATTCTGTGTATGCACATAGTCACAGTGACAACTTGCAGTGACAAACACGGCATTATATGTGGTGTTTTTTGGGAGCAGTTTAGCCTCACATTGTTAAAGTTAGCCTCTTAACCTATTGTGTTTTGTGTTTTATATTATGCTACTACTGAGTTACAAAGCCCCACGCACTAGGAGGTTAAAGTAAAGGAATCAGTTGAAGATAAAAGCAGAATTCCAGACCATCTGGACTAGTGCATTATAACAACTCAAAAGACAGTCTGCCAAGGAAAGCACAATGTGGTGATCTGCTCTTGTTCTTCAGCTGCTTCCGCAAAAAAAAAAAAAAAAAAAAAAGGGGGGGGGAGGTGGAACTGCAATCTATAGGAGTTTTGAAATGCTATTAAATGTTGCCTAAAGGGATAGAGAATTTTTCCTCCCTCCTTGCCCTTCTCATCCCCACCACCAAACTAATAAACCCCAAAGCTCACATGAGACTGGTTCCTTCTGGTTGCAGATCTGGATGACAACCTTGGAGCTCCAGCCATAGCTCTTAACAGGAGCAAGTGCTGTATCTCTAAACATTATGCTGTATTTTAAGCACTACTCTTCAAGTTATGAATAGGCCTCTATCCTCAAAAAACTCTCTAAGAGCAAGCTAAGCCCCAGTAGCCCCTCCTTTGCCTGTGAACCTAGTTATGAATGATTAGCATGTAAATGGAACAACTGCCTTTTCCTGCCCTGGTCCCACTGGCACAGATCCCTTAGGTATTCACTTAACTTTCAGTTTGGACTTAAATCCATTAATAAACAAATTGACTTAATTTTATACTTAAAAGCTCCATTCAGTTAGGTCCTTCAAAAGAAGAAGCGTGCAGCTACTGGTGACAAAATCTCTGATAAGCCAATGTCTTCATTTTTTCTACAGAAAAAGTCTACTTTTGAGGTGGTTATTTACATCACTCATGCTTTTAATGTAGTGCCACCAAAACCTCATTACATTAGGTAAAGCTACAAATTATGGCAATAAAAAAATTCAATTTTTTACAAAGCCCAAATGTGATTTAAATATGACTTTCTTCACATTGTTCTGCAGTTTTCTTTTTAATGGAAGAGTTAGTAAAAGCAAGTATGATTAACTTCTATTTTTCAACGTATATGGCACGCAAATAAAGCACACATGTTTTGAAGTATGATATGCTATGAAGCTAGTAGAAACCTATTCCTAGAAACCTATTTATTAAATAATATGAATGTTGAACTGTCCAATACTACTTTTGTATTATGTAAAAAAATCTTCAGTATTTTTGTACTACTACAAAGATTAAGTTCTCCTACAGATACTGTCCCATAAATCCTTCTCTTGTTTATTGATTACCAACAATTTTTATCTCTGGAACTTCATGTATGTAAGTTCTTGTATAACATGTTTGAAATTCCCTTTCTTAATTGCCTTTTGTAGATGTCTCAAAGAAAACCCTGTAGCATGAAGGATGCTCAGGCCATATATTAAAAAGAGCATTACAGACTAACTGAGGATTTTTCCTCAGAATTGTTGTTAAGGAAGGTGACCCTGAAAAAGAGCTGTCAGTGGGTAAACACTGTATTTGTCACAGATTACTGCTATTTTTATCATTCTAAATGTCTTAATATTTATATTACAGCACTATCTAAAGGCAAAGATCAGAAGCAGGTATAAGCATATGAGGAGTCAAAGCAACAGCAATAGGACTGTTTGGAGGTTTACAGCTATGCATGTGATTCAATGGCTGTGTATCTGAGGATCAGAACACATGGTAGAACCAGTTTCTCTTATTCCCTCTTTGTATAATTTTTGTTTCTTTCAAATAAATGGAGAAAACAGTGGACACTGCAAAAAAAAAAAAATCTGAGTGCTGAATGCTGTCTAATGTTATCCAGTGTTAAACTTGTAAACAAGTAATAATCTTTACAGTGTTACCAGCATTTAATTCATTTTTTAAAGACTGCATTTCTTCTATTTCCTCAATTCCTCCCTCAAAAAAAGAAAAAATAAAAAGAAGAGAATTCAAACTGTTGTTATCCGCAGAATGAGGGAATGTTTGTGCCTGACATTACTATTGGCAAATGTCAAATGCTGTTTGCAGATCTAAAAGCATTAGGAACGAAAAATGGGATCAGCGTAATTTGCAATATGAATTTTTAAAGGTTAATCTTCCATGATTAACTTAGCTAAACAATGCTGAGCACAAAGTAAATTGCTTAAGTCATCATAACCAGCTCAGTCTTTTGTTCTGTAGTTCTTAAACAGTGATTTACTGATTTTACAGTCATGAAGTCTGCACATTCATTCACATAATTTTATTCATAATATTTGAAAGATTATATTTTTCCTAGTGTTCTTCATCTAGAGGAAAAATAAAGAAAGCTAAGTTTGCCTGTAATATGGGATCAATAGGATTATTAGCAAAAAAAAAAAAAAAAAAACTGTGCTTCCTCAAGAGTCAAGAATAACTCAATTTTTAAATTCATTTTCTCCTTTCTTTAACATTATTTTCTTATTGACACTTCAGTCTAAAAAACATGACAACACAGCAGCACCATTTCTTACTACTCATTTCTTACACAGTAGACAAAATGATCTCTTCCTTGCTATGAAATAAGTTGAAACAAATTAGAATCTTTTCATTTAACAATAATTTAAATGTTTATAGTGTCGTGTTACTTCAAAATCTCCCTGCTGTTAGGTTTAGGGAGAAGGAGGAGCAGAGTAAGTGTTTTCATTTCAGTGTGACTTCTCAGCTCTGTGAATGCTGCCAGTTAATTGTCATTCTTCACCTAAGGACAGGAGCTCAAAGCATAGTCTCCTTTAAGTTTCACAAACACCACCAACAACAGATTTGCGTTTTGAACTGATAAATATTCCTAACTGATAAATATTTCTAACTTACAATTTTTATTTTTACATTTACAGA